GCTGCAGGTTAATGTAATGTGCTGGATCACAAGGTCGGATTGATCTGCAAGGTCAAAGGTTGAAGTTCACCAGCCACCCTTGGAAAACCTAGATAGGGACAGGGATGCTATGAGTTGGAATCAATTTAATGGCATTGTTGGGAACTTATTGATATATATATAGCTGTTGTTAAGTGCTGTCGAGTCGATTACTACCCATAGCAACCCTGCACAGAGTTTCCGAGGCTGTAAATCTTTACGGGAGCAGAAAGCCTCATCTTTCTCCCACGGAGTAGCTGGTCATTTGGAACTGCTGACCTTGTGGTTCACAGCCCGATCCGTAGCCACTACGCTATCAGAGCTCAATATATATGTATTGGTATGTGTTTGTGTATGAAAGGGCTTCAAAAGTTCATGGAAAAATGGAAGTAAAATATTTTTTATTGTTTTGATTTAACTGTCTTGCACTCTATTTGTCTAAATTTTAGAGTTTAAAAATGATTTCTGACTTTATGGTGCCCCTGTTTTATTGTAAAACTGTCGTTATTCTAGGTGTATTTTCTGATTTATTTTGCAAGTTTTTTAAACATCAGCTGCTAAAATTGTTGTAATTTTATTTAATATTAACCCCAGTTACTGTTAAGTTGATTCTGACTCATTGCAAATACATGTGTATCAGAGTAGTACTGTGCTGATAGGGTTTCAGTTGCTATGATCCATTTTCAGATATAAATTGTCAAACCTTTCTTCCAGGGAGTCTTATTATTAGTAGCCACACTCTTAACCATTTGTACTACCTATGGACTCCTATTTAATATTAGGTATAAATCCACCAATAATAAATAGAAGAACAAAGTGAACTTACAAAGTTAACACCTTTTATAAACACACAGGAAAAGTGAATCTTAATTTATGGAAAAAAGGCTTAGAAACATAGTTTATGATACTTCTGGCCATAAAGAAGTGAGTACTTAGATATAGTTCAGTTACTTTCTATAAAAATAATGTATTTTCAGGGAAGCTTGGTGATTGCATTTACTTAGATTCTCTATAGGGAAACCGCCCCCCCCCCCATAAATTCCTAGTGTGGCACTGTAGGATAATCACTGGACTGTAAGGTTGGCACTTCAAAACCACCAGCTGCTCCTCAGAAAACCTATACAGGGTTGTTATGGGTTGGAACCTACTTGATGACAGTTAACAACAACAACAGTTATACAACAGCTATTTTTTTAAAACCCCATGAAGTAACTATCTAGAATTGATTTGAGATACCAAATGAAGAAATCACTGTCTTTCCCTTGTCTAAAGGGTTAAAAACAAGTTGGGACAAAATAAAATGTTTCTGAAAAATTCTTCAACCTCAACATTATGTAGAGCTTTACCTATACTTAAAGATAGCTATTTAGGAGTTCTGGTGTGGCACTGTGGGTTAGTGCTCTGGACTACAAGGTCAGTTTAAACCACAAGGCATGTGGTCAAGCTCACCAGCTGCTCCTTGGAAAACCTATACAGGGTTGCTACAGGTCAGAACTGACTCGATGGCACTTAAAAACAACAGCAACAAACATAGCTATCAATTTCTTTTATTTAAGTTGATATCTATGAGGGGGTTTCAAAAAGTTAATGGAAAATTTCATTATCTTTTTATTCCATTTTTCATTAACTTTTTGAAGCTCCCTCATAATGGTCAACATCTTTTTGGTCCTTATTTGAGTAAATTCTTCTTTAGGAAAACCAAATATATTTGTTGTTGATAATTGCTGTCAAGTTAATTCTAACTCATAATGGACCTGTGTAGGGTTTCCAAACCCTGGTGGGTTTGAACCTTGTGGCTATCAATCCAGTGCTTATTCTATAGTGCTACACAAAGACTCAACCAAGTATATTCATGGCGGTTATGTGCCGTGGAGTCAGTTCCGACTCATAGTGACCCTGTACAGGGTTTCCAAGACTTGTAAATCTTTACAGGAGCAGAAAACCTCATCTTTCTCCTGCGGAACTGCTGGTAGTTTTGAACTGCTGACCTTGAGGTTCGCAACCCGATTCATAACCACTACACTACCAGAGCTCCTTAAATATGTATATAATGATTAATTTATTGTTTTTATCTATAGGGTGGACAAGGTGAAGAAGCCATTGAAGATGATATTACAACTCTGGATAGAAAAGCCCTTTTACAGCAAGAGTATGTAAACAACCCTTATGCACTGCGGAGTGTAAGAAAATCGAATGCAGTAAGTTATCAGCATGTTTTACCTAATTATTTGATAAGTTATTTAGATAATTTGTCCTCCAAGATTTTACAGATTATAATCTAATAAATAATTTCAAGAATTTAATTAAGATATAGGTGAATATCCATCTTTGTGAAAAATGAGTCCCAATTTTTTAAAATAAATGACTGCGATGTGATAGATATATTTTATGAGGAAATATTATCTTGAATCAAGAAGCTTTGGTAGTGTAGTGGTTACAAGTCGGGCTGCTAACCTCAAGGTTAGCAGTTCGAAACTACCAGCCAGTCTGTGGGAGAAAGATGAGGCTTTCTGCTCCTGTAAATGTTTACAGCCTCAGAAACCTTATGCAGGGTCACTATGAGCTGTAGCTGACTCCACGGCACACCACCACCACCACTACCACCATCATCTTGGGCCATTAAGAGTTTATAAAATATTTTGCTTAAACTGTGAAAAATGTTAATTGGCCACTATTCACACTAGTGAGTTGATTTGATATTGCCCCTTCACCCACTCTGCTTCCCTCCCCACCCCACCCCAAAGTGACCTTGTTATTTTATTAGAAGTCAAACTGGTAAAATTCTTACCAGTTAAGGAATAGGCTAGGAATAAACTTACTTTTCTTCAGGAAAAGGAAAACAACAAACAAAAAACCTCTAGATCCCAATGAAACCATTATCTTTGAGTTGTTTCTGATTTATAACAGCCCTGTAAGACCAAGAAGAACTGCCCCATTTGGTTTCCTAGGCTGTAATCTTACAGCATCACACTGTCACATCTTTTACCAATGGACATACTGGTGAGTTTGAACCACTAACCTTTTGCTTAGCAGCTGAACATTTTAACCACTCTGCCACAAGGGCTCCTTAGACTGCTAATATTAGCTACATGTCTTATACAAAATCAGATTAGATTTGATGAGTATCACTTAGACCAATTCTGATACAAACAGATCATTACAGCAGTACGGTCCTGACTAAGCAAACAAAGCTGTATGAAGTTGGAGTCTACTGGCCAATGATCCAGGCATGGTGCTGTAGGATAAATACCATTTTCTTTTTCTTAAGATTTTATTGTGAATTGAGTGATAGTTTATATGGGAGAACATAGGTTTTACACCATCGTTTCATTGCAATGATTACAATCTCCTCCATGCATCATCATTCAACAGTATTTGTTTCTACTCCCTCTGTGGTTTTTTGTTTCTCTTTTGGTGTGGTGGGGGAAAGGATGTACAGAAAAACACTCCTGGATATATAATAATTTAAACAACCAACAGGCACATTCTGAAAGTCTGCCTCCTGGCTGCCAGCACTCAGTCTTTCTCTTTCCATGAGTCTAGAGTCCTCAGTTGCTCTCTCTCTCTCCATGTCCTCATCTCTGTCTCCATTTTTGGTGTTGCTGCTTCTCTGGATAGGGTTGCACATTCTGCTCATGCTCTTCTCCTTTGGTGGTCCTAAGGTCCTCTGTTTCTGGACTGTAAAATGAACTATTCCACAGTTTACTGATGAAGATCAAAGAGCACAGCCTTCGGTATGGATTTCATCTCAATGTCAAGAAAACACAAATCCTCACCACTGGCCCAACAAACAACATTCTCACCAATGGAGAAAAGATTGAATTTGTCAAGGACTTCATTCTTCTTGAATCAACTGTCAACACTCATGGAAGCAGCAGTCAAGAAATCAAAGGACATATTATATTGCATTAGGCAAATCTGCTGCACAAGACCTCTCAAAGTGTTGAAGATCAAAGATGTCAGCTGGAGGACTAAGGTGCTCCTGACCCAAGCCATGGTATTTTTAATAACCTCATATGCATATGAAAGCTGGACAGTGAATAAGGAAGACTGTCGAAGAACTGATGCTTTTGAGTTATGGTGTTGGAGGAGAATCTTGAAAGTGACTGGAGCTATCAAAAGAACCAGCAGATCTGTGTTGCAAGAAGTGCAGGCAGCAGCAGTGTGGCAAGACCTGGGGACTCTTGGGCCCAGAGTCAGTGACATAGCCATGGAGGACTGGAGTGGAGAGTGAAGTGTCCAGCTGATAAGAAGAGAGGGCATATCCATAAGAGCACCCACACTTGCAGATAATACCCACTTGACCTGGCTTCAATTACTGGATGATCAGAGCTCAACCAGAAGAAAGAAGAGGAGAAAAAGAGTAATCTGATACAATTTGATGAACTTGACCTACACCTATGGATGCAGTAGCTCAAAAGAGGGAACAAATCTTTATGGCAAGGATCATTCCCACTCCCCTCCCCCCTTACACAGAGTGAGACAGGGATGGGCAACTGGGACATTGGCTATCCAAAATGGGGGGGGGGGGGGGGGCGCTACAAAGGCAAGAAGTGACTGGCTTACAAGCTTTCAAGAAGAAACCTAGATCCAGGGGGTGTGGAGGAAGGTAGAATCTCCACTGAGTAGTATCTCAGGACTCATGAAAGGAAATGAGGATAGGTCTCTTTTGATACAATGGTGAATAATTGTTACCAGGACTGATTGTGAGGGTTGTAAATGTAGAAGTAGACATTTTGTGGCAAGGAGGGGAGTGATTAACTTTGCAGGCTAGGAGCGGAAATCCCTGGGACCATCAAGGGAGAAGAGCAGAGAGCAGGACCCTACCCAGAGAAGCAGTGATCCCCAAGATGGAGGCAGAGAGGACGACATGGAGAAATGGAGCAGCTGGGGACTCTGGACCCAGGGAGGGAGAGGGCCAGTGTGCTGATGACCAGGGGGAGGGGGGAAAGGGAGAACAGGCTTTCAGGATGTACCCTTTTGCTGGCTGGTGATGTGTGGAGGGGATTGTATCCATGGTAATGAAACAATATATGATAGGATGAATGTAAAACTAATGTTCTCCCATGTAAACTATCACATAATTCCCAATAAAACTTAAGAGAAAAAAGAAGAAGAAGAAGAAGAAGAAGTGCAGCCAGAGTGCTCCTTGGAGGCCAGGATGGCCAACCTTCATCTCTCATACTTCAAACATATTATCAGGAGGGACCAGACTCTGGAGAAGGATATCATATTTGGTAAAGTGGAGGGTCATAGAAAGAGAGGAAGACCTCCAACAAGATGGATTGGCAAAGTGGCAGCAACAGTGGACTCAAGCGTGGCAACAATTGTGAGGTTGGCCCAGGACCAAGCAGTGTTTCATTCTGTTGTACATGGGGTTGCTATGAGTTGGTACCAACTCCATGGCACCTAAAAACAACAACAACCTTCCCCCGCACACTCTTAAACTAAACTCCTTCTTAAAAACTTGTAAGCTAGTCACTTCATGCCTTTTTTGCCCCCTAGTTTTAGGTAGCCAATGTCTAATTTGCCCATCCCTGTCTACCCTCTATACAGAGGGGATAGGATTGATACTTGGTGTGAAGATATGTATAAGTCAAGTTCATCAAATTGTAGCAATTTACACTTGTTTCCTTTATCAAAAATTGTTTTTTTTAAATCTTCCTCTAGTTGAGTTCTGATTAACAAGCCCTTGAGGCTAGGTCAAATGGGTACTATCTGCAAGTAGGGCATTCTTGTGCATCTCCCTCACTTCATATCAGCTGGATGCTTCACTCTAAGCTCCAACCCTCCATGGTTATGTCCTTGTCCATGGGCTCAGGAGTCCCCAGGTCTCACCACACTTCGGACCAACCAGCAATTCCTCTTCTCTCTCTCATCTCCAGGTCAATGAGAGTCTATGGAATGTGGTTGAACTCAGCCTATTTCTTCATTGCTGCCTTTCCCTATCTTTCACTCGTCAGTAGACCAACATGGTCACCAGCAATCTTACATTCCTGCTTGTGTGTTCCCTTTGAGTTTCAGTCTTGGAGAGGGGTTTGTCCTGAAGGGACTTGATTGCTTGCTTGATGGCTCCCAGGCAAACAGCTTGCTTGTTCTTGTAATAGCCAATTAGACTGCCATTTTAGTTTTGGATTTTTTCCTGCTGATCTTTCTTCCAAGAAGTATCTTCTGTTGCTCTAGCTGTTCCAGGCTGATCTGCTTGTCCTTTCAAGTGGGAATGTCCCACTTCAGAAGGTTCTGGATGGGGGCTCAGGATTCCACCTAAGGTCTTATAGGCTGAAAAGGCTCTGCAAGAAGCCTATTTCACTGAACAAGTTCTAGAACCTGTTTTAGGTATTCCAGTCAGTTATAGGTTGAAGACTGGCTTACAAGTTTTCAGTAATCATGTTTCCCAATATTCCTTTCTATCCCACTTAAGTGTCTATTTTACAATAGTATACAAGGGAAACCAATAGTCATAAGACAGTCAAGCATCTAACATTATTTCCCCTCTTCATATTATGACTTGATTCCTGTATCACACAGCCCCATTTTTCCAAGGTTGAGCATACGTCATTATTTGCCACTGTCCCATTTAGACCATATAAACCTGCCTCAGTATTTCCCCATCTACCTTGTTTTTCCACCCCTCCCTCTTGTGTATTGCCCTCCCCAACACCCAAACTATGATGTCTATCCCCTACTCTGTGCTCTACTCTCCCTTCCTTCTACCCCCGCACCCCCCCCATAACCAGCAAATAATTTTTTTTTTTTCCTTTTAGTATGGGTATCGTTTCATAAACTTTTACAATAATGGTCTTATGCAATATTTGTCCTTTTGTGACTGATTAATTTTACTCAGCATAATGTCCTCAAGGATCATCCATGTTATGTGGTGGTTTGCAGTTTCCTTGCTATTCTTCAAGGTAGCATAACATTCCATTGTGAACACCATTTTTAATGCATTTGAATGAGTTAGAAAGTGCCAAAAAAAAGCATAAAGGCAGTGTCTGACCTCTTACTTTACAAAGTGGGGAGGAGAAAGTCACCATCATCAGCAGCCTAAACCAGGGCTGAGTCCTATGGGCTGAGGTCAGACATGCCTCCAGCCTTCTACCTTTTTTAATCCAATTTAACACCAACCATCCTGTGTGGCAGCTGCGGGTTAATGCACTGGACTGCAAAATCAGTTTGAACCCTATACAGGGTTGCTATGAGTCAGAGCCGACTGAACTGCACTTTAACAACAACAACAATCCTTCTCACAGCACCTTTTGCTCAGCAGCGTTCAATCATTCATTGCAATGGCCACAAAGAACTAACAAACCATACTCCTAGTTATGAAGTTTATTAGGGAAGTTAACAGGTTACAATGTAATATCAGAAATGTTCAGGATAGTTCTTTGGTTAGGACATCCTCTTCCCAGCCGTGTCTACAGGCAGGCCTCTTTGGTCTTCAACCCCTCAGTTGAGCAGCTTCTTGCTCACTTCCCTACTCAGGCAATGTTACAAACCTCCTTTTACACTGCTGATAAATGCCCAAAGGACATTTATTGTGCTATAAGCCTTGGCCCCAAAAATGCTCTGCTCTAGCTCTGTGGGTCAGCAAATCTAACTTCCCAATTGAGTGCGTAGAGGCACCCCACTCCATCAGTGAGCTTCCTGCCTAGAGGCACTTAACTTTACTTCCTTTATGTGCTGGGAAGCCCAAGGCTCTATCCGGTACTCTGGCTTTTGGTTCTGTTGTTGCTTCTCTTCTGGCGTCACAGCTTTCTGTCCCTGGGCCAAGGAGGTTCAATGTAACAGTAGCTTGGGGTCCAAAGGATGAGCTCCACTCCTGCCTCTTTCTTCTTGATGGTAGTGAGATTCCCCCATATTCTGCTTCTGAGATGTGTCATTTTATATCTATATCAGATTTCCAAGTTTTTACAATTACAGTTAACTCTGTTAATAATTACAACTGGATTATATAATCCTATCAGCATCTGCCCCCTCCTTCTTTTATCAAAACACATCAGCAAAAAGTTGTTTGGTGACACTATGGCTAGAAGATAAATAATTCACTGCCCTGTGCACACACATACTCAAATAGTGGGAAAACAGTTTAATTAGACTAGTAATTGAGAAAATTCTGCTGCACAGGAACTTTTTAAAGTATTGAAGAGCAGAGATGTCAGCTTGAGGACTAAGGTGCGCCTGACCCAGGCCATGGTATTTTCAATAGCCTCATATGGATGCAAAAGCTGGACAGTGAATAAGGAAGACCGTAGAAGAATTGATGCCTTTGAGTTGTGGTGTTGGAGGAGAATACTGAAAGTGCCATGGACTGTCAAAAGAACCAATAGATGTGTTTTGGAAGAAGCGCAGCCAGAGTGCTCCTTGGAGGCCAGGATGGCTAAGCTTCGTCTCTCATACTTTGGGCATATTGTCTGGAGGAAACAGTCGCTGGAGAAGGATGTCATGCTGGGTAAGGTGGAGGGTCAGAGAAAAAGAGGAAGACCTCTAATGAGATGGATTGGCCAGGTGGCATCATTGATGGACTCAAGTGTGGCAGCAGTAGTGAGGTTGGCCCAGGATTGGACATTGTTTCGTTCTGCTGTGCATGGGGTCGCTGTGAGTCGGTTCTGACTCGATGGCACCTGACAACAACAACATTACTAATGACATATATGTAAGGTCCTGGTGTGGTGCTATACAATAAGCACTGGACTCCTAATTGCAAGGTCAGCAGGTCAAATACACCAGACATTCCTAGGAAACTATACATGGTCACTAAGAATAGGAACTGACTTGATGGCAGTTAACAACAGCAGTGGCATATATGTATAAAAAGGATTGTCATTATTTTTAAATGCCATCTAACTCATAGCAATCTTGAGTAGTGTTTCCAGGAAATGCTGGTGGGTTTGAACCACCAACCCTACAGTTAGCATTCCAGTCCTTAACCTAGAGCACCAGACTAGAACCCATATAAAAAGGAATGCATTGTTTTAATGATGGGTGATATCTTTCTTTCTTTTTTAACCCTACATTATCTAATTTTGATGTAGGGCTAAACTGTTTAAATTCAACTTTAGCATCTTCTGTTGATGAACTGCAGTCCCTGGCCAGCACAATTAAACACTTGACTGTTGTAGCTGCTGTTAGGTGCCATTGAGTCAGTTTTGACTCATAATGACCCTCTTCACAACAGTATGAAACACTGCCTGATCCTGAGTCATACAACCCATTGTTGCCACCACTGTGTCAATCTTTGTAATTGAGGGTCTTCATGGTGTCCTTCTTCAGGGATTGGTCCTTTCTGAAAACGTGTTCGAAGTATAAGAGGTGAAGTCTTATCACTATCTTTTTGGAAACCAACTATGTTCAATAGATTAAATAATACTACTATAAAGTATTGTAATATTTTTATATATAAAATAAAATCATGTATATTCAAGATGGAAATTAAGAATGTTTGTGTTTTAGGACTCCTGTGTTAAGTATAATTTTATTCTTCTGCTTTATGACAAATGAAATTTTCTTGTCTCAGGAAATTGTGGCTACAGAGAAGAAAAAGCAGACTGTTACTGAGCAAGTGATGATAGACCACTTATCTAGGTAAGAATTAAGGACTTGTAGAGATCCATGCAGAAAGTTTTCATTAAATTTCTTTTTTAATTCATGACATTCGTATCAATTAATGAGTGACTAACTCAGAGATTTGAAAACATTTTCTGTTCACTGAACCCATAGTGTTTTCCATTTTTTCACAGCACTTCTAGGCCAATAAAATTTATTTAGTATTTAGGTCTAAACAACTTTATAGGTGTTTATTGCCTAACAACTTAATGGCTGCTAGAAATTCACATAGATTGAATTAGAAAAGAAAATGATTCTTAATTAACCAGAATTACCTAATGATGGGGTATGGTCACCTTTAGCACTGCACTATCTTTCAAACCTGGGAATCATTAGGATACTGCCACCCTCAGTTTGTTTTCTGTATTGATTTTCACATGACACTTGCTTCTTATCACAGCAACTACAGAAAACCAGCTTTGCAAATATATGACATTACTGAAGGAGCACAGCATGATCTCTTGTTGAAACTGTAAATTACCTTGAATTAATAGTTTTTGTGGTGGCAGGTAGATGTCAACTATTACTGTGTTTTTATCAAATGAAAAATAGCACCAATGCAGTGCCAAGACTTATTTATATGCTTTGGAAACTTCAAAACACTATGGGAATAAATGAAAGAAAATACAAATAAATGGAAATACATTATGGTCTTATGGATTGGAAGACTAAATAGTCTTAAAATGGCAATATTCCCTTAAGTGATTTAAAGATTCAATGCTTGTTAAGTGCCTTTGAGCCATGGCAACCCTTTATAGGATTTCTGAGGAGCAGCTGGTGGGTTTAAACTACCGACCTTGTGACTTGAAGTCCATTGCTGATCCTAAAGCACCACAATAGGTCTTTTTTTGTAGTAATGAAAAAGACAATTCACATGGAATTTTAAGGGACTGTGAATAGTGAAAACAATCTTGAAAAAGAGCAAGTTGGAAGACCTACACATCCCAATTTCAAAACTTATTTCAAAGGTACAGTAATTAAAACAGTGTGATTTTGGCATAAGACAAACGTCGAAAACAATAAAAACAGTAGAAAAGAATGGGAAGTCTAGAAATAGTCTCATTGATTTTTGACAAGCGTGCCAGAATATTAGGAATGTTCAAAAAGAAAATAGTCTCTCAACAAATGGAACTAAAAGAACCAGATTTCCACATGCAAAAAAAAAAAAAGAAAATCAACTTAACATGGATCAAAGAACAAAATATAGTACCTAAAAATAGAAAACTTTAGATGATAATATAGGTATAAATCTTTATGAACCCAAGGTGATGATGATGTGACTCCAAAAAGCACAAGAAACAAAAGGGGAAAATTAATAAATTATACTTGATCCAAATTAGATTTCTAAACATCAGAAGACACCACCAAGAAGATGTAAAGACAATTCAAAGAATGGGAAAAAATATTGCAAATCATGTATCTGTGAAGGGTATATCATTCTGAATATAAAAGGCTCTTACAACTGCAAAACAAGAAGAAAAAAGCCTGATTTTTTTTTTTTAATTAACAAAAGGCTTGAAAAGACATTACTCCAAAGATGATATTAAATGTTATTTCCACTCACCAGTTCTGACTTATAGCAACCTTAGGGTCTCTGAGGTTGTAAATACCTACAGAAGCAAAAGCCTCCTCTTTCTCCTGCAGTGAAACTGATGGAGTTCAACTGCTGACCTTGCAGTTACCAGCCCACTACTTAACCCACCACGCCACCAGGACTTCTTTCAATAGTCATTGTTGTTGTTGTTAGGTGCCACTGAGTCAGTTCCAGCTCACAATGACCATATGCACAACAGAACAAAACATTGCCTGGTCCTGTGCCATCCTCACCATTATTATTATATTTGAGCCCTTTGTTGCTGCCACTGTGCCAATGCATCTTGTTGAGGGATCCTCCTCTTTTTGACAGATCCTCTACTACTTCAAGCATTATGTCCTTCTTCAGGGGCTGGTTCCTTCTGACAACCTGTCCAACATAGGAGAGACAAAGTTTTGCCATCTTCGCTCCTAAGGAGCATTCTGGCTGTATTTCTTATAAGACAGATTTGCTTATTCTTCTGGAATTCCATGGTGCTTTTAATTTCTTCATCAATACCATAAGTTCAGTGCATCAGTTCTTCCTTATTCATTGTCAAACTTTCACATGCATATGATGCAATTGAATATACCATGGCTTGGGTCAGGCATATCTTAGTGCTCAAGGTGACATCTTTGGTTTTTAAGACTTTTAAAGTCTTTTCCAGCAGTTTCACCAATGTAATACTTGGAAGCAGAGAAATCAGAAAGATGTTTACTTTTCCTTTATTGACTATTCAAAGACATTTGACTGTGTGGATCAGAAAAACTATGGATAGCATTGAGAAGAATTGTGTTCCAGAACACTTAATTGTGCTCATGAGGAATCTGTATATAGACCAAGAAGCTGTTGTTCAAACAGAACAAGGGCATATAGAAGGGTTTAAAATCAGGTAAGATATGCACTAGGGTTGTATCCTTTCACTATGCATAGTCCCACACAGATAGTTGGCTGAGATAAGGTTTGTGCCTAGGCTGACTGTTCCAGAAGCTGTCCTCTAAACGACTACATACATACATAGACATCTATGCCTTTGCACATATTGTTCCTCTGCCTGGGCTACCCTTACTCCTGCTCTGAGTGCTAACTTCTACTGAGACTTCAAGAGTCATTGCAGTATCAATCACCTCTTCTGAGATGCCTTTGATGGACACTTCTCTTTCATGTTTTCCAGAGCATCCTCTTCTACATTCTCTCTTTCAGTTTCTATTGTGGTATTTACCATTTCATATCGAATTTATGTGATTTGTATTTTACCCCCATGTAACATCAGAAACCAGAAGAACATACATATTTCTTCCAAGATTGGCAAATGAAGAGATGATGTTCTTAACTTTCCAAAAGATTTCAATTTATTTTTAGGTATGGAAAGGAGTTCTGGTGTGGTGCTATCGGATAAGCACTGATTTGCTAACTGCAAAGTTGGCGGTTCAAGCCCACCAGCTGATCTTTAGAAACCCTATACAAAGTTGCCATGAGTCAGAACCAAGTTAAAGGCACTTGACAACAATAAATTATGGAAGAAATAGCCATGGATACTCACTTTTTTATGGACCATATTTTAGTAATTTATTTATATCTAACCAAAAAGTTAACTCTGATAGTAGTGTCAATTTGTATTTGCTATATGTGCCTTCCCAACTGTCTTTAAATATGAGACTGCTAGAGCCACACATTATCACAGTGCTCAGACTTTGTGTTTTCCTATATAGGGCTGTAATCAGTGATCCAGAACAGAATTTAACCAATGAGAACCAAAGTGCTTATATCCTTCAAGATCCAAAGATGGCACCTCTTCGGTTTAGGAAAAGAACATTACATGAAACAAAGTAAGATTTTAACTACATAAAGAAAGGATGTAGTACATTATAAATGTATTTTTAAAATGTGCTTCTGTGTTTAACTGAAAGGTGTTTTTTCTGATGTTGCATTTTTTTCTATAAAAGATAGGCAGAAGTTTGAAATTCAGATTTAAGTTCTGTCACTTTAAGATACTGGGATGTGATTTTACTCTCTTTGCCCTCTAAGTTTTTCATTTGTCACTTATGAGTAGCAACTACAAAATTAGGAGATAACACATTTAAAAATATATACCATAGTAACTAACAAATTTTTATTTAGATAATATGAGTACAGCCAATAGATTGAATCTTATTAATGCAATGGATGAAAAATTACTATCATTTGCCTTTTTTTTTTTTTTTTTTGCAATTTGCTTTGGGGCTTTAAAAATCTTTAACACTCTTATACTGCATACTTATACTTATACTGTATAAGACTGTTAAATTCCTCAAAAGAATCATGAACAGTTGATGGAAGATCTACCAGTTCCTACAGAAACCTATTTTATTTATAGACTTCGGTGATTGCCAAAGAGTATTTTCTTCTAATTTTTATCTCTGAGTTTCATTTTTTTTCCTGGAACCTTTAAATATTTAAAGGCATCTAAACTTTCTTTTAATTAATATAATACACATTCAGGAAGGTACATACCTTTTAAGTGTATGTTGTTGTTGTTAAGTGCTATAGAGTCCACTCTGGCTCATACTACATAGGGTTTCCAAGGAGCAACTGGTGAATTTGAACTGCTGACCTTGTGGTTCAAACTAACCTTGTGGCCCAGTGCTTATTCTACAGTGCCACACCAGGACTCCTTTTAATGTATAGCTGAAGTATTTCCACAAGTTAAACACACAATGTGCCAAGTTCCTAGATCCAGAAATAGAATAATTCCAGCCCCCTTGTATCACCTTCTGGCTGATAACCATACACCATGAAGCCTTTCCAGATAATCTCTCTATCCTGACATGATAGGATAGTGCTGTCTGGTTTGAAAAAAATCAATCAATCAATAAACACAAATAAAATCATAACATATATTCTTTGTGTCTGATTATTTTTAACATTCTATTTTTGGACCTTGTATATGTTATTTGTACTTGTTTTTCTTCTCATTGGTATACAATATTTCACTGTATAAATATTTCACAATTTTTTATCCGCATTTGACTATTTAGGAATAGTCCTACCCTGAACTTTCTTATGCATATCTTTTTTCCCCATTTTCATTCTTTTATTGTAGTTTGAGTGAAAGTTTACTGAGCAAATTAGATTTCCATTAAGCAATTCATACACATTTTGCTTTGTAGCATTGGTTGTAAATCCCATCAATGTAAGAGCACTCCGCCACTTTTGCCCTGGGTTTTCCATTTCCATTTATGGTTCTTTTTTCCTCTTCCTACCTTTTGAGCTTTGTTTTTAGGCAAATGCTGTATTTTGTGCATGTCTTTGATGGAACATATGTAATCATTTCTATACTTAGAAGTAGAATTGCTTGATCATATGGTATGTGTATCTTTAGGTTTAAAAGATGCTGCCACATCTTTTTTTAAAATTAGCTGTATCAGTTTATACTCCCGTAAGTTGTAGAGTTACATCACATTATTGCCATTGGTTGATATTGTCTATCTATTCCATTTTAGTTCTTTTTATGTGTATGTGTTGATATCTTGTGATTTTAATTTGTATTTCACTGGTCTCTAATAAAGTTCAACTTTTCTATGTTTAGTGACCATTTTGAAGACCTGGTACGGCTGTAGGATAATGAAGTACTGAACCACACGGTCAGTTTGAACCACAAAGTTGGAGGTTCAAACCCACTAGCTGCACCTCAGAAACCCTTAGTGGTGGTGGTGATGGTGTCGTAGAGTTGGTTCCAACTAATAATGAGCCTGTTTAGGGTTTTCTAGGCTGTAAATCTTTACGGGAGCAGAAAGCCTATCTTTCTCCTGCAGAAAGGCTGGTTGTTTCCAATCTTGAGGTTAGCAGCCTGACTCGTAATTACTACGCTACCAGTGCTCTTTCAGAAACTCTATACAGGATCACTATGAGTTGGAAGTGGCTCTAAGACCCTTAACTGACTATTTAGATACTGTCTTGTGTGAAATTCTTGTTCAAATTTTTTGAGTTAGCTTTCTTTTTGTTGATTTGGGGAACTGTTTTTTATATTCTGGTTACAATGTATCTTTTATCATATAGTGATTACCTTTCATTCTCTTATGGTGCCTTTTGAACAATAGAATTTTCTAATTTTAATATAGACTATCTTGCCAGCTTTCTCCTATATTGTTAGTGTCCTTTGTATCCTCTTTAGTAAATCTTTGCCTACTAAAGTCATTCTTTTTTTCCTTTTTTCTTTTAAACTTTTTATTGTGAATTAAGTGAAGGATCACAAAGAAGAGTATCCATCAGTTTTACACTCAACACATGCTGCACTTTGTTTCATTGTTATGATTACAATCCCCTTCATGCAACAACAGTTTCCCCACTTCCTCCCTATGGATTTGGTTTCCTTTCCACCCTTATTAACTTTGTCCTTAATTAAATGTTGTACTTTTCATCTTGAGTGATTACTTCATGATGAGCATATTTTACTAGTATCAGGGTTCCACTTATATACCTATCTACTGCTTGGCTGAAAATTGGACCTTGAGTGTGAATTCCTGAAGGGTGGTGAAGAGCCATAGTCTTGGGTTCCTCCAGTCTCTTTCTTAACAGTCAGTTTGTTTGTTTGTTTTTTAAATCATTTTGAGATTTGTTCCACATTTTCTGCCATTTTATCTGGGTTCATCTAATGTGATCCTTTCAGAGCAGTTGGTAGTGCTAGCCAAGCACCATCTAGTTCTGTTCTCAGAGTTGTGGTGACTGATGTTCATAGGTTCCATTAGTCCATTGAAATAGTTGATTCTAAGCATCTTCAAATTTTTACCACTCTACTTTCTTTCGTACATGGAGAGATCAATTGTTGCACCTTAAATGGCCACTGATGAGCTTTTAAGACTTCAGACACTACCTACCAAAAGTAAGATGTTGAGCATTGTCTTTGTGGACTGTTATGCAAATTGACCATGGTGCCCCCTATACTATGGTCCTGAGCCCCCAGGTCCAGCAACTCATTGCCTAAAGATGTTTGATACTATCTAAGAAATTCTCATCATTTTGTCCCCTGTATGCTCCACCACATTCATAGATATGCTTGCAGCAAAGGTAAATACCCCTGTACAAATATCCATTTTCATGTCCTTATATATTTGTAGAAATATTCCCACTTTCCCTGGCATACTTATTGAGACTGTGTGTCTGTCCATGTATCTGTTCCAGAACATTGTTGTTTAAGGGTTGTATATATATACCATTTATTTCTAACCTCTTTAACCCTTGCAAAGCTCCATGTGTATTCACCTGTCTTCATCATTCTTTTGCCAAACTCCCTCTCCTTGTATATTGCCCTATCCTGGTGTGGTGCTGTGGGTTAATGTGCCAGACTGCAAAGCCGTTTGAACTGCAAGGTTGGCAGTTCAAGCTCACCAGCCGATCCTCGGAAACACTCACTATACAGGGTCGCTATGGATCATAACCGACTCGACAGCACTTCACAACAGCAATCACCTGAGTTAATGTGTCTACCCTCTAGCCAGTGAATTACTCTCCCTTCACTCACTCCCACCCTGACAACCATCAAATAATTTTTTTTAGCATAAAAACCTTTTCTTGAGTTTTTATAATATTTATCCATTTTTGATTGACTAATTTGACTCAGAATAATGTCCTTCAGATTCCTCCAGGTAATGAGGTGTTTTGCATATTCATTGGTATTCTTCAGTGTTGTATAGTATTCCATTATGTATATGTACCAATGTTTGTTTATCCATGTTTCTATTGGTGGGCATTTAGGCTGCCTCTGAATTTTTGCTATTGTAAATAGCGCTATGTTGTTGTAGCTGTTAAGTGCCGTCGAGTCGGTTCTGACACATAGCGACCCTGAACAGGGTTTCCGAGGCTGTAAATCTTTACGGGATCAGAAAGCCTCATCTTTTTCCCGCGGAGCAGCTGGTAGTTTCGAACTGCTGACCTATAGTGAACATTTATTGTTAGGTGCCATCGAGTTGATACTGACTCATAGTGACCCTATGCACAACAGAATGAAACACTGCCTGATCCTGAGCCAACCTCACAAAAGTTTGGAGAAAGCCTAAATGCCCGCTTGAGCCCATTGATGCTAACGCTTTGGAATTCATCTCGCTGTAGGTCTTCCTGTTTTCTGTGACTCTGCACCTTACCAAACATGATATCCTTCTCCAGTGACTGGTCTTACCTGACAATATGTCCAAAGTATGAGAGATGAAGTTTAGCCATCCTGCCTTCCAAGGGGCATGCTGGCTGCACTTCTTTCAACACAGATTAGCTGGTTCTTTTGGCAGCCCATGGCACTTTCAAGATTCTCTTCCAACACCATAACTCAAATGCATCAATTCTTCTACGGTCTTCCTTATTCACTGTCCAATTTTTGCATGCATGTGAGGTTATTGAAAATAGCATAATGGCTCAGGTGCACCTTAATCCTCAAGCTGGTATCTTTTCTCTTTAACACTTTAAAAAGGTCTTGTGCAGCAGATTTGCCTAATGCAATACGTCGTTTGATTTCTTGACTACTGCTTCCATGAGTGTTGATGGTTGATTCAAGAAGAATGAAGTCCTTGACAACTTCAATTTTTTCTCCGTTGATAAGAATGTTGTTGATTGGTCCATTGGTGAGGATTTTCGGTTGCTTTACATTGAGATGCAATCCATACCAAAGACTTGCTCTTTGATCTTCATCAGTAAATATTTTAAGTCCTCTTCACTTTCAGTAAGCAAGGTTGTATCATCTGCATATCACAGGCTGTTAATGAATCTTCCTCCAATTCTGATGTCACATTTTCCTTCATATAACCCAGCTTCTTGGATTATTTGCTCAGCCTGCAGGTTGAATAAGTATGGTGAAAGAATA